AACCCAACAAATCCAGTTTCCTTTGGATTTCCTTTGAGCAAGTGCTTGGCAACAGTGTCTGCAACAAAGTTATTAAATATTAACAAGTCTAGATTCACTTTCTATTGTAATAAAAACAACATAACAATATCCATTCATTGGCTATACCTGCTTTAATCCTAGATCAGCTGACACTGGGGGAGAGGAGGGGTACACCCTGGACAAGCATCCAGTCCATCTGGGGCTAACACCAAGAGACCAACAACCATGCACACTCACACCGACAGATATTCTGAGTTACCAGTTAATCGGCCCTGCATGTCTTTGGACTGTGGAAGGAAGCCAAAGGACCTGGAGAAAATCCATGCAGTCACAGAGTGGATGTGAAAACTCTGCACAGAAAGGTTCCAGCAAAAAAGTAGGTACAAACCCAGAATCTTACTCTGGGTGGCAACAATGCTAGCCATTTCACCGCTGTGCTGCCAGTGACAATATCCACTTTAAATAATTAACTTTGTTAAGCAGCATGTTTAATATCAGTTTAAATGAACACATTTGGACCGACTTGTGTGGATGAACTCTGCTTGAATTCATTGATGTGTGTGCTGTGGAGGCACATCACGCAGAAGCAAGTTTGGAAAACAACTGCCTAAGGGCCTTGCAGAATAAATTACTGATTATTTACTTGAGAAATTGGTACCAACTTCTGTGTAGCATCTGTTAAAGATTTTGGAACAAGTCCGCTAATTAGATTCTCTATCACCGCGCCCTGTGTTTTAATTCCAAGGCTGCTGGTGTTTATCTTTATGTATGTGTATACAGAAATATATAAATAAACTGTCCCTAATGAGGTTCTGCTTAGTGATCATTAAAGAAACTTCAGAATTGTTTACAATGTTTATTCAGAAGCACCACTGTCTTTGACAGATTAAGACTGACAAATAATGGCATTTTCATCATCTTTTCAAGTCAGATTCTGTTTGGCTTAAATCCTCTGTATTTTTAACCACTACCTTCAATTTCATTCTTTTGTATTCAGTGGAGATAAAGTGATCTAATAGATGAAGACAACAGATGTCCAACTGATTCTCAGTCACTTCAGCTGAAGACTGGAACAGACAGCTCACCGATGTCTGTTATCCTAAGATCAAAAAGACTTGAGATTGATTCACACAGCACCGATGTCCTGCAGGGGTGACGTACATCCTAATCTGTCATAGTTCACCGAAAATGATAGCTGGCATTTTGTCCTGCTGTTCGTCTTGAGTGTAGAGAACAAAGGAGGAGTTTACAGAGAGGTGGTGTGGATAATATTAAGATAGATTAACAGTTGATTTGCACACTGTTCAGGCAGTGCGCTCCTATAATCTGTCAGTATGTGACAGATGTACATGCTCATACCCACAAATCTGGACATGTAGACATGAACTTAACACACACACACACACACACACAAACACAAACACACACACAAACACACACACACACACACACACAAGTCCAGGTGCGGACAGAAAGACAGACATTTCATGGCCGCTGGCTTGAGCGATGACAGGAGCTGATTGCATCAGTGTTCGGGGCAAGGAGGTGAACACGAGCTCACACACAGACACATGTAGCAGGAGAGCGGAGTGAACACACACACACACACACACACACACACAAATCCCTCATGATGCAGGATGGTGATGAATGCTGTTTAATCCTGTAGTTAGAGTGTCCCAGGTGGGAGGGGTCAGACCTTCTTCTCAGGGCTATCTCTTACAGGCCAAAGGTTCAGCCTGATGGCATCCCCAGATACAATGACTGCATTTATTCATATGCAGAGAACCGAAGAGATCTGAAAATGCATTCAGACAAATAATGTCATGACTGAATTCAACTGATATGAAATGAATTGACATAAAAACAAATAAAGGGAGTGGTGTAAACTGAAAATAACATAAAACACAAAACAAACTTTTCACAGAACATGACAAAAACTTTGCTGATTCTATAAATGGGTCGTGGTAAGGTGACTGATATGTAATGTACTCTGGGTTTTTACAACTTTCAGAAGACTAAGTTTTCAGAAGATAAAATAAACTTTGAGGAAATCTGTCTTGGACACATACAGTAACTGCTGTTAAAATACATTCCACAATGCTCTCGTGCACACACACGATAACAGCAACACGGCTGTCTTTAAAATAACCAGCCAACTTTGTTTCTATTTGGTAGTGACATAAGTATCAGACAAGGGGAATACAAAGAAATAACCTAAGTTAGGAATATGATTTTATTATAACTGCATGTGTACTGCCATTTGTATTTTATTAATTTTTATACAGCTTAACTCAACGTGTGTTAGGCTCGGTGGGTCTTGTTTGGATGGACAGGCGATAGACAAAAAAACGTGATCATTTGCCAAAAACTGCAGTCGCAATCATGTCTCTGCATGATTTTACTTGGGCTGCAAGGTGATTCAGTGGTTAGCACCGTTGCCTCGCAGCAAGAAGGTCACTGGTTTGCGTCCTAATGAGGACACCTGGGACCTTTCTGCGTGGAGTTTACATCTTCTCTCCGGGTTCTCTGGCTTCCTCCCACACAGTCCAGAAACATGTTGAGGTTAATTGGTGATTCTAAATTGTCCGTAGGTGTGAATGTGAGTGTGCTTGGTTGTCTGTCTCTAAGTGTAGCCCTGTGATAGACTGGTGACCTGTCCAGGGTGTCCCCTGCCTTCACCCTGAGTCAGCTGGGATAGACTCCAGCCCCCCAGTGAGGATTAGGCGGTGTATAGATAATGGATGGATGGATGATTTTACTTGTTCTGCACCTTACATTACAACCGATCCAGCTGTTTTTACTATTTGAAATAGCTGTAAAGGACCAATTCAATGCATATAAGGTAGTTTTCCACTCAGAATGCATCAAATTGACTTGATTAGAGAAGAGATTTTTCCTTTATACTTTATACAAAGCCCATCTGACAGTCATGTTAATTGCACTCAAAACAAGAATGGCAGACATAACCACCAGAAACAATACTGTAATATTAACTATGATCAGCAAATGTCATGTTGAGTGTAAAGTGCAAATATTCATTTAGTCTGAATTAGTCTATTTGGCTATAAGACACGTTCAAGCTGTACAAAGACACACTTTTGCCACCACAACAGACAAAAAGTTATTTGTATTTGCACGTTATGACTGTGTGATCGGGGCAAAAGCAGCTGTAGACGGATATAAACTGGGCGAAGCAGCTTTGACAAGAGGAATCAGTTTTTTGGCGAATGATCACTTTTTTTTTTTTTACACAACGCCTGAACTGTGTGGCAGTCGAAAAACTAAGATCAAAGGTTCGTTTTCTTGGTTTTCTGTGCTTACAATCTCATCTCACGGTATTCATTCATCAAACGGAGGTAAACCTTGAAGCTTATACATCGTTACATAACGTGATTTTAGCTGACAGCTTGCAGCCAATCAGACACTAGTTTTTTCCGTGGCTATGGCAACCACGTACTCCTATTCCAACACGTCGTACAATTTAGAATAATTAAGGTCTTAAATGTTGCGCTCACTTCTCTAAAATATGTTGGGTAATGTGTTTTTCATGGCAGTCGTCAGCGAGAGGGACCGAAAACTTGCGCGTAAAATTCATACTATTTAAAATCCGTTCTTTGGTGGTTTGCTTTACGCAGCGGCTGCCATTGCTGGCGCGATGTAAAGTTTTCTGTCAGTTATAATCAGCACAGAGGAAGATCATAAACTAGACAGTGGAGCACAGCAGACGTCATCCCCTCCCTCATTTTGGAGAACAATCTGCGTATTTTGTGTTTTTCCTTCCCTCCCTCCTTTTCCATGTTCTCCACTTCTCCCTCGCAGGCCACAAGTGTTTGATTCGCTGTCTGGCCGTGCATATTAATGAGAAGGGGACAGCGGGCAGCTTTTTAAAAGAGCTGCTGCCTTCCCTCTCCACAGCAAGAGAGGGGGAGAGAGAGAAAGAGAGCGAGAGAGAGACCTAAACGAGTGATTGGAGATTCATCCAAGCGCTCGGGACGCACAGACGGAGTTGCACAATCAGCGCTCCAAAGGGACTCCAAAAAGGCAGAAACCCCTCAGCGCTCCTTCACTTCTGCCGTCCTATAGTCACAGCAAGTGGATAATATCTTTTTAAAGTTGCTTTTCTTCCGCGTGTATACTCCTATAGAGCGTTTGGAGGGATTTTTGAGGAACTTTCTTTTTTAAGAAAAAAAAAAAAAAAAACAAGCAATCAAACAAAACAAAAAAACAACATCTTTTTTTATATACTTGTGAAGATATGCATCGGTGCACGGTGGTGCTACTTTTCCTAGTGGTGGCCTTATACTTCCTAAGCGCAGAAGGTAAACGTTTTTATTTGTTCATTATAAGTTGTTGTTGTTGTTGTTGTTTTTCTTAAAAATGCACTTGGTGATGTAACTGAATAACAATGGCTGGAGGCTATGGAGGCTTTTTTACGCTTTGTTTGATTAAACTAAGTAAAAGATGGAGGAATTCAGGCAAAATTACATTTCCTATCCAGAGTTTGTTTGGAACAAGCTGATCCCCAAATTGTCAGCACAACTTATGACAACTTCAGTGTCTCAGTGGTGTGTTTTCTGGCATGTCTGTGCTCACAAAATGACTTAAACGTTGCCATCACCAATATACCACCTGCTGCATGCATTTAATCTGATCACAAAACACCTCAGCACTTTGTTTCTAACAGTATTACAGCCTTCCATAGACACTGACCAATCCTTAAGCCTAAACTGGAATAGGAGAATATAACTGGAGTGAGTATTAAGTTATAGAGCCTCTTTGCACCCTGAACATCTCTTTGGGATTCAGTGGCAAGACAAGTGAAGCCACCCTATGTAGCTGAAATCATTTAAAACCAGTGTTCCAACATGTCAGTATCTTTCTTTGTGATCAATAAGTTTAATGAGGGGTACATTTTTTCCTTTTGTAGTCTAACTTTATTCACTTACATCTGCAACTTTGGGGGAAACTACATGTTTACATCAACCAGGGGCATCGTAATGTTATTCTGTGTCAGCTCTTTGCATGTATGTGTTCATATAGCATCATAATTTTGGGCAGAACAGCAAGAAACTAAGTTCTCGTTCCGATTTTGATTCATTTATTGTTGGTTTTCTGCAATGTTTGATGTTTACCATCACCTAGATATTCCAGAAAATGGAAGGTAAGAAGTTCTTAATTTGAGAAACGGGTTAATATCTCTTTCTGTTTGACGGTGCAAAGTGTTGGAGCTGTTTCCTTCCACCCAATTTATTCACCTCAGTGTTTCGCCACTTTTATTGGCCTTTGTTGTCCAGTGTGTCTGTGCTCTGTGTTGGCTCCACCGTGGGGCTTGTGACAGATTTAGTGGTTGGCGGTCAGGACAGCTAGCCGGTGATGGATGAAGGAAACCTTGGACCATCTAGGTCATCACCTCCCAACACAAATATACAACCGAGCAAAACTCATTTCCGCCGCGTTTATGTAGCAGCATGAAGCCACAGCAGCTACAAAAACTGGACATGGAGAAGATGATAGATGGAAATTTAAAAAATATATAGCCACTTTAGAAGTGTGACGACATGTAGCTTCAATTAAAGTAGTGCATCATCTGTCCTGCAGTGCTTAAAGGGCAAGAGTTTCCTAAACCAAACATCTCGTGGTATGAAAAGTGAGATTGCACGATAGCTGCAGGAGTGTTGAAGCCTAACTGGATCACTTCAGTATGAATCCTTAGGTATCTCAGCTGAACTGGATATAAAACACCAAATTTAGCTTTGATGATGAACATTGTGAACATTCAGCAAAGTATCATAAAACTCATCTAGGGGGGAAATTGAACCATTTCTTCTTAAGTAGGAAGTTTAATTTTAAGTAATATTTGCATTTTGCTGGGTGCTAACTACATGCCAAATTGTATTTCTGTTTAAATGTGCCTTTAATTTCACTGTGACCTAACTCTAAGTAAATGCGTGCATAAAGCATGAAATTTAAACAGCGTGTTGCCAGATATAAATATAGGAACAGATAATACCCAGTTGTCAGTGTATAATCCAAAGATAAACTGGGGACTTAGTCGTGATTGCGAGCCAATTTGCTGTCAAATCGCAAAGAATGAACTTTTCTGTCAATTTAATATCTGTGCCAGTTTCTTGGCTGGAAGTAATTATGAGACTGACGATGATCAGTTTCCATTATTTTAAATCCCCTGCAGCACATGTTCGTCACATTTCCTCTTTGAGAAAATACAAGGAGTGACAAGAACAAAGCCCAGTCTAACATGTGTTTTGTGTTTCCCAACAGCCTACAAGTGCAGGTGCACCAGAAAAGGTCCAAAGATCAGATACAAGGATGTACAGAAGCTGGAGATCAAACCCAAACACCCGTACTGCCAAGAGAAGATGATATTGTGAGCCCTGTTTTTATCTTTCAGTCTTTTGCTCTTCATATGTCATTTCTGCTGCGTGGTCCCTCTCTTGTTTCCTTTTTCTTTCCTCTTCCTGCTCCCCACCTTCATACTTTTCTTTTCCTTAATCCTTTGACCTTTCCCTACCTGTCTCTGTCTATCCTCTTGCTTTTTTTCTTTTCTGATCCTCCTCTTTTCTCCTTTTCTTCTCCCTCCTCTTCTCATTGTTACCCTTTTCTTCTCAGTATATACTCTCCGCACGCACTGAACACAAGTCACACAATCAATAGACTGTCAGATGATTTACAGCTGTAACTGTACTGTGGCTGTTCTCCAAAACACCATAAAATCATTCAGCAGCTGTATGGGCATTATCAAAACACCCTGTCGCCTGTGCTTAGAGCACTTAGAAGGATTTACAGTGCGATAATAAACTGATGATTTAATTACCCCCTGGAGGCAGGAGGTAGAGTTGATTTATGAGTGTGAAAGGTGGGAAGGACGGAAGAACTGCTTTCCAAAACTTTCCAGAGTGTTCAAGTACTTTTAACATGGCATTATAATTGAGTCTCCAGACTTTTAGTAATAAACTGAACCATTAGTGAAAAATGAAGACCTTGCTGGCTACGTGCAACGCATGCATCATGTACAGTGCATCATCATTACAAAGAGTAATGTCTTCAACAGACAGAAGTATGTACCTGCACTTGACATCTGAAAACCATCCCACCCCTTAGGCCTCAGACTCTCCATCTGATCCTGCTGCCTGTTCTTTCTCTCGACTGTCTGACCCTTGATCCGTGATCACGGTCACGCACACAGACACTTATTATGTTCAGTTTGAGCCGTCACGTAATGTAGCATGAACCTCCCTGTTGGTAACAAGGCCTCCTCTGCTGATCATATCCAAACAGACTCGAGGTGACCTGTGGTGCCTCGAGAGACACTTCAAACTTGGACAAATAAACTCACTTATATTATGTGTACAATACGTACTGTACTATCTGTTGTTTTGCTTTGAGTCTGACTCGAGTTGGGGATCAACTCGTACACGTAGCCAGAAATGTGAGCTATGATTTCTGTGTGGAATTTATTTGAAGTTTCATGTAAAAGCTGCATGAAGAGACAACAGATGGGGATGTTATGTCAGCCTCCTGGGAGTCAGGTTTGCGTCCAAGGCACATGCTCTGCTGCCACCTACTGCCAAATGACAATATCACACTGAAAACACAACGTGGGGAACAGCAGTGGCCACTGAGGCAACCTTTTTCGTGGATGTTTATCTTCAATATTGACATGCTTTTAAAGGAAAATCAATTGAGTTTCAACCTTTTATTTCAAAATGTTCTATTAAGAAATCATCACCTTTATTGAGAGGCTTGATGGGTCGCAATCAATTTATCGTTTTAGTCAAGTTTTCAAGAGAAAACTAGTTGCGTTATTGTAAGAATTTGCCTTTTTTTCCCCCCATTTTATAGCATTTTAAGCATTAAATATGTTTATGGATGTTGTTTGGACAAAACAAGTACTTTTGAGTTTTCTTTTGGAACTGCGCTGTTTTTTGACATTTTATATATCTTTATATAAAATAATGGTTCATCCATCGGTTAATTGATAATGCAAAAAAAAACAAAACAATTAGCCCTAATACTAAGTATGAAACTGCTTTTTGTGTGTAACAAAGTGACAAATAAAGGTTCTGTACAGGTTACATAAATGCTTAAATCAGTAACACAAAAGTCACCACAACACAACACTTTTAAAAAGTAAAGAAAGCACGACATGTTTCTGTCTGTATTTTAATTAGTCTAAACACTGATCTGCCACAAAATTAACAGTACACAATTTATACACACTCAAGGTCCCCATGTGCCACTAAAACTGCACTGAACCATCAAGGCATACATTTGGGACGGGGGGGTGGCCTGCAGTATCTGGCACAAGGACATTATGTCCTGTGGCCTCCGTGGACCAGTCTTGTTCCAGTGCATCCCGTGGATGCTCATTCAGAGTAGAAGTTTGGAGGTCGGTTAAATATCTTGGCCATGTTCCTCAAATCATTTGAGGAGCAGTTTTTGTCTGTGGTGACATCCATTGTCTTTCTGGAGGAGGGATGCTTCCTTCAGGAGGTGTCGTTGTATCGGGGTGGTGTGCTTGGTGTGCGACGATGTTGAGTTGGGTGGTACGTGTCAAAGTAACATCCACAGAAATACCAGGACCAAAAGTTTCCCAGCAGAACATTGCACTGTGGCAAGTTGATCGTGCATTATTCACTTTAAACATCAGTGGTTTTAATGTTATGGCTGTTTGGTATAAGGCAAAAAGGATTTAGCTGTTTTTGAAGATATGCCAACACATCAAGTGTAGGAAATCAATTGTGTGTGCATTCACAAAGCAAACAAACCATTCAGTAGCGTTAGATTTGATTTGATGTGCATCAGCTCACAGGTCTGCTTTTGTGTGAGTGTGGTTGCCGCCACACAGTCATCATTCAAGGCTGCTCTATTAGCATGAGATGGGGGCCACCAGCCATTGGTGCCCTGTGAAAAATGAGCCTCAGCAGGCTCCGGAAAGCCACGGAAACAAAGGGAGCGGGAGAGAGTCCCCTCTCTGGCCGTTTGGCTTACGGCTTTCAGTTTGGGATTCTGAGCGGCCACTCCTAACCACAAACACACACAAGCTAAGAGCCTCAAATGCCCCTGTTTCCTCTTATTTCGCCCAGTTTTCTCCATTTTTGTTTTCCTTTTTTTGTCATTTTTGCCGCTTTATGTTTCTCTTTTATGTAATTTTGATGTTTGGACTCAGGGTAGCTTTAAGAGTCAGTGGCTGTGCTTCGGCTGCCAAGGTGAATGACAATGAGTGGGAACCAAGGCTCACATTAACACAGTAATTAGGTTAAATTTCACCCCTGATGAGCAGCCGTGCAAATATGAGTCCATTGGCATGCACGCAAACACAAGCACCTTCATGTTCTCTCTATTAAATACACACACAAACTCAAAGCTCAGTTGTTGCCTAACAAAGCACATACAGCTAACCAACCACAGCCTCAATAGCCAAACAAAGCATAAGCCAATGCATAAGCAGGAAAATAGATGCAAAACTCTTTAATCTAATTCGTATACCTACTGAATGCAGCTTTTTTTTTTCAAATAGACAAGTCTTTTCTCTCCCAGTCAAGTCATTTAGCATTCATGGTTTGGTGAGGCTTTGAGCGTGTCACTAGATGGAGAGACCCTGTAGTGTGGTGGCTGTTTTTCCACCACATTCTCTTGTTTGAGTTGAATGTGCCACATCCAGGCAGACTGTCTCTATCATGGCCTTAAGCACAGGGCTACAGACAGACCCAACAATTCAGTGAGCTTAGGTGTCACATTTTTAAGTGGCAGCTCAATAAAATTGCTTCATTGCCAGTAAGCTGGCCAAGCCCTGCAAGCTGATCTTTTGAATTGTGAGGGTATTTAGCTGTGGGGATGTTATTGGCAGCAGTTGAGAATAGCAGCTAAAATTTGGGGTAAAAACATGTCAAACTTGCTATAATTTGAGCGGCCTCTATTCTGAAGACTTAGACTGGCCTACAGGTGTTTTGAAGTAGTTTAAAATAGTTTTTTGCTATATTCAGCGCCACTGACATTATTATTTTCTTAAATAATGCATTTTTTTTTTAAAAAAACAAAAAACATGCAACAAGTTGGCTCTAGTAGTTTTAGAGCTCACCCTTTTCCAAATTGCACCAATATAATGGCTTTGTATGGTTGCACTGTATAAGACATTTTTTAAAATATAGTTAACCATTTTTTTGGGGGGGGGGTCATGATATAGTCGGAGAATTATTTTGCATTTTTGTGGGTGAATGTTTTTTGGACCACTCTGCTGCTGCTTTTTTTTAAAAAGAAAAAAGTTCTGTATGCAACTGTGAGATTTAAGAGTAGCAGAATGTTGACATTCTTCCTAAATAGTTGGCCCTACAGCCCTCAGTTGAAAATTCAGAGGTGCAAATTCACACCTCATGAGATTATTCTGTAGTGACTTTTAAGATTGCACATGTAGCTAGTTCCAGGCAAAATCAAAACACTTTTTTTTTTTTTTTTAATCTTCAAACCATGCTTTATTTGCCAGATGTTGTAAACTGTTGTGTCTTCTTACGAGTTTGTACATTTCTTTCTTCCCTCAGTGTGACGATGGAGAACGTGTCTCGGTTCAAGGGACAGGAGTACTGTCTTCATCCCAAACTTCAGAGCACTAAGAATTTGGTGAAATGGTTCCGTATCTGGAAGGACAAGCACAGGTAATCCCTGAAGAAGTCCTGGATAAAACATGAAAACCAAAGCAAGGTGTGACAGTGGCCTAGGATTGGCCACTGTCCTAGGCCACTGTCTAGGATTTGCTTTTTAGAATGTATGTTCAAATGTATTATGGCAGTAACAAAAAATGTTGTATGCAATGTTTAAAATAATGTGTAAAAGATATTTATTTTCAATGTTTTGACTAGTAGTTAATGACAAAGGAGTTAATATATGAAATTCTCATCCTTTTTTCTTTCTTTTTTCTTTTTTGTTTTTTAGTTAGAATGGGCAAAATAACTGTCGTGCTTATTAAATCTACAAATTAAACCAAAAACTGTAGAATTGAGAAGATCAGTACCCATCTCTGTCATCAAGATAACAACAATAACAACAACAGCAACAACAACAACAACAACAACAACAACAACAACAATAATAATAATAATAATAATAATATATGAACATTAACCTGATTCATTAAGAGCAAATTTGCGTTTTGACCCCACGACTGATTAGCTTAGCTTAGCATAAACACTTGCAACAAAGGGAAACAGCTAGCCTGGCTCTGTCTAAAGGTAATAATACCATCCCACCAGTACCCCTGAAGTTCACTAATTACCATGATATACCTTGTTTGTTTAATGTGTACCAAAAAAATAACAATAATCTTGGAATTTTAGTAACACACAGACCTACAAGCAGCCTTTCATGTAACAACCTCTGCTATCGCTGACTCTGACGTGCAGACCATATCCAGATGTCCAGTGGCTTTGTGTGCTTGCTGTATTGATTTGTTTTGTTGAAACTGCTCCTCTTAGCTTCCCTTCACAATGGGTAGGTCAGAGGCCAGGGTCAGCCACAGACCTGTTGACTAGTCCTCTGGAGAAGGTGGAGATGTTTTGAGCAAAAGGACATTTCCACGGGGACTCTGTGGGTTACAGAGCGATCAAACTCATGTCCTTCCACTTAGTCAACTTTTCATCTCCACGCAAACAGAAACCAAACAGAACCACCTGTCGCAGAAGGTTGAGGAAGCAAGCAGAAAAATCAGACTTGTGATGGCAGCCAAATGAATGTATCCTTAAGTGATATGTGAACAGAGGAATTAACTCTAGCTTTGTTTTCTTCCACAGGGTGTACGAAGCTTAAAACCTTGGCTACCCAGTTCACATGGATGAAGCGAGACAAAACAAAAACACACACACAAAAAAAAAAGATGACAACACCGCCAGGACTGTTCTTTTGTGAAGTACAAAATGTAATCTCCGGTTAAACTGTACTTCTCCCCTTTCTGCCTGAAATCTGTCAAGCACATTAGGAGATATCTATAGTTTGTATATAAGCTGGTGGGCTTGTTTTAGACAACCATCAATCTAGTTACATTCACTCACCACTCCAGTCTTTACAATTGTAGTTATATTTGTCAAATTGTGGACAAGACACCACCATCTATTTTCAAACTGTTGTAGGTTTTTCAGGTTTGTTCAGATGTTATTTAAGGAAACTTCTCTTTTGCTTTGGCTTTTAAGATTCTTTCAAAGTTGAAAATGTGTCATTCTGAAGAAACAGGCAAACGTTCCTGAAAAGTACAGTGTAGGTGTTTCAGATGTTTCGATTCTTCTCTGCTCTGTAGTCGACATGACAGGTGTATCTGTACAATGCAAGCATTTAGGATCTGGTTGCTCAGAGGTCAAAATGCAGTGATAAAGGTTCTCAAGGCATTCCACTCTCTGTATCAGTGGAAGAGAGTCAGTCAGCAAGTGGATACATTCAATACAGAAGTTGCTTTTGTTCATACAGATTGAAAAGATCCACCACTTTGTGTGTATGTGTGTGTGTGGGCGGGCGGGTGGGTGCTACTCATGTTGTGGGGACCTAAATCTGTTTAACACAGTCACATTATGGGGACCTGCCTTCCTAACGGGGATGAAGTCACCCTAACGCAAACCATTACATTTTAAGGTGAAGATGTGTTATAAGGTTAGGTTAAGGCTAGAGTAAGGGTTAGGGTTAGGTAAGTTAAGGTTAAGGTTAGTCTAAACCTCCAGGAACTGAATGTAAGTCAATGTAATGTCCTCTGAAGTCATGGAAACACTACTGTGTGTGCGTGCGTGTGAGTCAGTGTGTGTCTGAATGTGTGCGTCTGTGTTTCCCCAGTCAATGCAAGTCATATGTGTCAAACGAACATTCCACTCTGCAACCACCACTTTGTAATATATTATCTCACCTAACCCACAGGGTGTAGGTTCAATAGTTAACAAGCAGTTCAAATAGATCACTTGTGCCATTTTTACGTACAGCACAGTCTGTTTATTGGAGTTCAAAAGCGTGATCAATAAATCAGTTAAGAAGGCAAGGCAGTTTACATCAACAAAGGATTATCTTTTGTATTTTCGCTGGTTGAAAGATTTTATTTTAGTTCTTCTTCTTGGAATAAATCTGTAATGAAGCAATGTCACACACAGACTGTCTCATTATAACCATTTGAAGCGAGCTACTTACTTACTTAGCGCCTGGGATAAGGGATAAGGCTGGTAATGTTTTTGTTTTTGTCAACCCATGAGGTCTCATGACAGCCAAACACACATTTCTGGACTTTTCAAACCTGATTGCAGCAATCAGACTCATAAATTCCTGATGATGATGCTAATCTTTAAATGAAGGCCAGGAATGAATGACATTCTATAAAAATTCTTAAATCCTAAATATTGCTGGAGACTATTATCCACTGTGGATTGAAATAACGGTGCTTTACTGGAAGCATGACAATGACTCAAAGTAAAGCACAAGTTTATGCCAGTGAAGAACCACATCACCCGGTGTAATAATGTGGCTCATTTAATAGTTTCTGGAGAACTATGGTGCTCAGCGGCACAAAGGGATGAGCCATTTCAGGCTTTAGTGAGCATTTAACTTTTGTTTTTGTCGTGATGTTGTTGACAATAAAAACGTGAATATTATCAGACTTTTCCTTTAAAATGGGCTATTAGCTATTATGCTGTTAGGGAAATAAGCATTAGACCAGTGCAGGAAAAAAACAAACCTCTTTTAACACAAAAGGGGGACAACTTGGCTCCAAACTCACTGCCCACATACAAAACATCACACAAATATTTGAAATATATGGCCACTACTTTCTACTACGAATGATTATGTCTCCATCTGGTACAGTGAGTGATGATACTTTCCTCTGTGATGATCTCTCCTCCAGTAGAGCTCCTCAACTATACTGTGTTTTTATTTTGTATGTTGTCGATACACTTTACAATAACGACTGTTGGGTATGTTTTTCTTTTTTGCCACCAAACAGAATTCACATACAAATATATCTGCATATATATACGAAAACACCACAATTTCTTTACCTTTTCAAGAATGTGTATTACTCTTGTTTTATATCTCATATATAAATATATATAAAGAAGCATTTTGTAAATGGACCAATATAGCCTATATGTTAGTGAGAATGAATTCACCATAAGACTTTATAGCGTCATGTATATTGTATTACTGCATTCTAGTTGTTTTTTGGGTTTTTTTTTGCTATTTAAATATTGGTTCGGTAACGGATATTTGGAAGGCGTGTGTTTGAACTGGCCCGCCAAACACACAGTTAGACATTCCACTGAGTGTAAAAAACAATAAACACAGCAATAAAAGTGTCTATAGAGCAGCTCATGTTTGCATTGGATTCACTTAATTGCCCACTGGAACAGACACTGAAACAACAGAGGAAAAGGAGCTGTTGCAGGTGTGTAAAGGGAAACGAAGACACAAGAGCTAGCGTATTTCAAAGTGAATGCTGTACAACAGGCGATCCACCAGATGGCGATATATACCAGCTGACTTTTAACTCCCAGCCATTACAACTGTACATGTCCTTGTCAAATAGTGAATGAGACGCCACCATCTGAGTGAAAAGAGTTGCCTGTTTGTTGAGCTGTTACATGAAGGTATTTCTCTTTTGCGTTGGCTTTTAGGATTCTTTTAATGCAAAAATGTGGATAAATAAATCATAATGAAGAGAAGAACACAGTGTAGGTATTACAGTTAGTGCAATTCTCACCACTGTGTGTTCAACATGACAGGTGCAATGCCAGAATTTAGCATGTGGTTACCCCTGGAGAAAGGTTTCAGTTTAAATATCGTGATAAAATAATTAATTAAAAAGAAATGAATGATATTCTCTATTTGTACAGGACAGTCAGCTTGTGTGTGATTACATTTCATACAAAAAATATTATTATTAATATAGATTGAGGAGCTCAACCAACCTTTAGCATTTACGATAAAGGATTATAATTTCCGTGATATTACTGATTCATTAACCTGTCTGCTAATAAAGACACTGAGATGGAGATGAATGCTCTAGAAAAGAAGACTGAGTTAATATTACAGTCAGCTAACAAATATGTAAACATTCTATAAGTAAATATGAACAATAGATTTAGAAATGTGGATAAAACAGCACCAGTAGTTCTAAACGTGTGTACCATACATTCATATACATAGATAGAGTAAGCCAAGGTAAGATGCCCCCCTGAGGTAAGAACCCTCCCTTCGATCATTCCCCTCCTGATCACTAGATCTTTTCTTGGATAATAGTGGCCTTGCTAACCTTTAAATAGCATTGACAAAAATAAAAAATACTGGTGGAAGGAAATTTAAAAAATGGCTGCGAGGCATGTCAGTGTACCATTTATTGACAGGAACAATAAGCTTTTCTACTTTTTTGTAAGAATATACATACAAACTTTTGTTTACTTTGTACATGAGACTCATACAGATGGTTATCCACATTTTTATGTAATCTGTAAAAATATGAGTATTCCTCATTACTGTAGGCTAATCATCTCTGGAGATCAGTGATTTGACATCATTATGTCATTAATTTAACTATCAGTAATAATAAAGTTGTAGTAAAGTTGTAACTTTTGTCCCACCCTCATCAGTTTTAAATTAATTAGCCTTAAGATTTGCTCACTGTACATGATGTAAATGCAATCTATACATGTATATATATATATTTGAAACAAAATAGACTTCCCCCATCACTTTGTATGTAAATTGTACATCTAAATTAAGTGTCTAATGATATAGGGGGAAAGTATATTAAGTCTCTCTCTCATTTTTTAATTAATTATCAGTTAATTAGTGGCTATTAATATAAAATATAAAAGTACTTCAAGATACCTACATAAATAAATTACCAATATATTTTGTGACATAGACGCTGGATTAGTTAAACTGTCACCAACAGAGAAAGAAATGAATCAAAGGCGCATCAAAGAAGTCAACAGTTACTTGTGTCGGTGTCTTAAGTTTGCTGTCTGCGAGGCGGGGTCAGTATTTGGCAGCTGTCTCCCGCTGTGCTCACAGTGAGAGAGGCGGGGTCAGTATTTGGCAGGTTCGTCCCTTGAGGGTGTGTATGTGTGTGTATGAGTCTCTCTAAGCAACGACCTGCAAACGGGCATCCGAGCCAGTCCGAGCTAAAAAAAACAGGAACCACATTAATTTCGAGTGTCTTTGCAATGTTCCCGACGATATTTCTACATCGTCTGCTTTGATCCCGTCGAAGTTGTCGTCTCTCCAGACGTCGGCCACAGAAACCGAACAAGAAATTAATGCATCTTGCTCCGCGTTCCTGTTTGTTTTGACCTGGTAAGGTACCCCGGAGCGACTGATTAGCTTGCTCTGCTAACAGCGCTTCTTCTGGTTCTCTCAGCATCTTAGACGCTAACTACTGTTAGCCTGCTAAGCTAACTGTCTGACCCTTTAATGTTGTGTGTTTATTTAATTTCGGCTTGTATGTACTTTATGAATTTATCTGCCGTGTTTGTATCTTTACTTAGGGGTTCAAATTCAAGTGCGCAGGGGTTTAAAACCGTTTCTGACTTGATTTGTGTTCACTGGGAGCTAACGGCTAACGGCTAGCAGCGGTGGCAGTTCCATCACATCTGTGGCTCCTCCGCAGGCACAGCCAGCTAACTCGGAGACAGAAAAAGAAAACTGTCATAAATAATTCAGCCGTTCAGGGTTTTGTTTTTTTTTTTCTTTTTTGTATGTGTGTGTGTGCCACAGGCAAAACTACTTAGTGCACATTTTCAGTTTTGTATACATTTGATGGTATAATTGTTTCTAGTTAGCGGTTGTGGGTCTTTTTTTTTTTTGCTTCTACATGAAGAATGCGAGATGTCATGGGTAACTGAGAATCACCTGGTTCTGACGGTTATTGTGCACAGAGCCAGCATGCATTCTGTTCTTTTCGGGTGCCTGGAGTTCTTGTTCTATTGAACTGTAGACGGTAGTTTCGTTTTCTGTTCTGCTTGTTTCTGGAAAGCTTCATCAGTGCCTCGGATGCTTCCTGCTCGGCTGTATTAAACTGTCTGTGCTGGAATGTTCTGCTGTTTTTGTGGTACAGCGTGTGACATTGAACAGTATTTTTTTTTGCCTGCGCTGATCCAGATGAATAGATTATTTATGCAGTGACTGATTCCACCATCTCGCTTCATTGATGTGAGCGGTTGTTCACAACTGGGCTCTTCTTTGCAGATTGCATAATCGTATCCGGTCATTGCCCTGAATTAGGACGGATTGGTCTCTCCATATGGTGTACAATCTGCATAAGCAGAAGAACATCTATGCGTTACAGAGCCACACTGTAGGACATAAGTGCACCCACTGCTGTATTTTATTGTTAATATTCAGTTAAAATGCAGAATACATCCTTGGGAAGTTGCATTTTGCTTTGATCAGTAAACTGACAGCAAATTAGTCTGCACACAGTCATGAATAAATACCTGCCATTGCCTGAAAATCTTTTAGCATTTTACTTGTGAGAGATTTTTAACTGTAGATTTCAAGATGTGCTTTTAAATAAACGTGTTTTGGGTGAAGTAAAAAGTACCTATTACATTGATTGTTAATTAATAATATAGCAAACTAATATGCAAGCCGTTGCATTTATTAACTCTGTTTCTATTGCATTTATTAACTCTAAGTTACACAGTGAACCAGTGTTATAAATCTATTTTTAGGTAAAAACACAACTTAAAAAATTGTGTTAAACAGATATAAAGGAAGTTACTTTTTTATGTGATGTAGCCACACAGAGCTGTCCAGGCAGTAGTTTAGTACTAAAGCACACTCTGATGTTACTGTATTCTGACTTGACATTGCATTTATTTGATGATAAGGATTTGGGGTAAAGATCTCCAAAATATTTTCCTGCAAGACAGTGTGATTATGATTTGACTTGCAGTATATATATATTTTTTAAATCAAGCATAACTTTGGTATTTACCGTGTAATAGATTTAAAGTATGTGTTGGAGCATTACCACATGAGCCACCATCTAAAGTGTGACCATCACTAAAGGAGGAGGCATGATTACATAAAAGCATTGGCACAAAAGTTTAAACTCTGGATCATTAATACTTGGCACAGCGTACATGTCTGCACAACAAAATATACATTAACCAAGTAAGCAAAAACAACCCTAATTTGCTTGAATTGAACACAATTATATTTCAACGTTAATCAAATTGTTTAATAGACAAACCATCTTGAATTGCAGCGCCTGCGTTTTGCTAATTGCATTGTTTGAATTTGAGATTCGAATTTGAAATCAATTAATTGTTCATTCCTACATATAGGTAGAAAATTCCCCCATGTGTATGTCAAAAATAAAACAGTAGTTACTGGCACATACTCACAAGATTCAGAGGTAAAAGCAACATTTAGAGAATCTTTTTGTTTGTTTGCTTGCTCTTTTTAGGTTTCTGACTTCAGCATGTCACAAACCTTAACAGCACCAACACATGAAATGTAATTTGCCCTGTTCAAAATGTGTCAGTAGTATAACCTGTTACCAGGACAGCTAGGTTACTGTGTAAGCTACACCAAGTATGTGTATAGACAGCCGGGACTAAAGGTCAGCTTTGTAGTGCTGCTGATGTTTGAAAAATGTTAAAAACAGTTGTTGAGTCAGCTGCTGTTACACATTTTCGATTGATAATGATATCTCCCAACACAAGTGCTAGTATGTGAATATTTTGCAGAAAATGAGTGAACCTAAATCAACAGTCTTCTGCAAGTTTTACCTTCATACAAGTTTTTAATGTTCAGTGAACTGTTTAAGCAAAGTTTTGTTTCTGTTTTATGGTCATTCTGGAGGCTTTAGTTTGTGCTGCTGCTGAGTCGTGTTGCATTATACTGAGAGCTGATTCTAGTAATTTGTCTTACCTCATTGTTGTTAATGAGGTAGACAAGGGTACCAGAAAGTACAGCAGTCAAAATGACAGTGAAGTTGAATCAACACCTTTCTACAATCATTTCAACAAAAATTGAACCTGCACGTCCAATGTATTGCAAAGCTTTTATGTCAGGATGGATTAGTTTTAGCTAATTATAGTGCTACAGTTAAGTTAATTTGGTTACTTATTAATCTTCCAGCAATTTTGAAAAATAATGCCTTGTTATTAAGACTTAATAAAAACAAAGCCTAAACACTAGAGTGCCTTTTGGGGGTCCCTAAACCAGTTTCAAAGTTGCTTACTATTATAAATGTTGATTGTAAATGTTGAGATAACTGATTGACAGTGTCTATAAAATGCAAGGTCATTTAGACGCTCGAGGCATTTCAATGATCAACAATCAGTCCAATTAAATTTACCTACGCTGAACCTGTAGACCTTTGTGACGAAACTCACGTATGCACATACCAGCAGTGTCAAAACTCTCCAACCTCCTGCAGTGTGAGATAAGATTTGTATGTAAGATGACCCATAGTTTTATATGGAAGGAAAACACGCGCACACACAGCAGTCACAGCAGTGTCATAATCACACAGCTGCCTGCAGTGTGGGACTGCTGTTGCCAGGTCATTGAGTGGTTGTTTTAGACTCAGTGGATGGACGCCAAGTTAAACCAAATGTGCTCCAAATCTCTCTAAAGCTGGACGCACACTGTCAGAAATTATCCAGATTTAATCCCAGTCTGCTCACGTTAATACCTGTATGGAAAATAAGTTTCATAACCTCAGTTTAATTGGTTAAAAGATAACTTGGTTTTATAATTTAGTGTTTAACTATTGCTTGTAGAGTAAGAACAAGCTGACATTTCAAACTAGGAAATATTAAAGATGGAATTGCAATACTGGGTGAAGATATTCCAATGTCCAGTAAGGGGCTGTGATGGTAATCCAACACTATTTGTCGTTTTATACCAAGTTAAAACTTGCTGAAAGTAGTTTCACGCAGTGTGGCACTGACTTGGCCCAAAGACAGCGTAAACGGAGATTGTCCATAAGGCAGCTGAAATAATAAAAGCGAGGAAAAAAAAAAATCTTTTAATCATGTGTTGTTATCTCTACCTATGAGTATCAGTGAGAGCCGACAAGATCAGTTCAGTTTTAGATCCAGGAATCTCGGACGCACCAAAAAATAGATGTAAATTCTTTCTTGGTTTATTTAATGCCAAAAATGTACATGTAAGAACATAATCTATTCAGAACTTTGTCAATAAGTATAGTACTGAAATTTGAAATTTCATCAACATAATAATAAGAATCTTCAGGGGTTTTTTTTCCCCAAGCCGAAATTGTAGTCATTTGCAGTTTCCACCTTTAAACATGAGTGGTACTCAACTAAACGTTTTGCCTATTTTAATTGTTGATCGCATCAAAAAAGCAAGTAAAAGATGTCAGTTTGGGCTGTGGAAAAAAAAACACAATGCAGACTCACTGATAATGAAAATAATAATAGCTTAGTAAGACAGGAATATTTAGTTTTACTGCATGACATTTAGGTTAAGTTTTTTGTTTCATGCTGGATGCATAAGATTCAACATCAAGGTATTTAATCCACTGGATTTAAAACAGACATTGGCATCTGGCTGTTTAAACAGCTCAGCTGAATTTCTACTGTATACATTTTAATATACACCAATGAACTTAAACATGTCCAGACAAAGATGAAGCGAATGATGTTGATTATCTTGTAACAACGGCACATATCAAGGTCTGTGATGTATTAGCTGTAATATAAATTGTCGGTTCTCATGGTAGGTGTGTTTGGATGCAGGAGAACAAGACCGATATGAAGACCTGAGTGCCTTTGCCAAGTGGGATGCTCTTGGTCAGACGAGAAAATACCAAAATAGACAAATCATGAAGGTTGTTGCAATTACTTGTTGTTTGTATTTCCATTTCTTATCTGTGTTGAGTATCAGTAGATGAATGAGATCCTTGTTGATGGGGTTGACATCATGGCATTTTTTGATGTAGTGAGTCACCCGTTACTGGTCAGGTATTCAGTGAAACAGGTTATTAGTCCTGTTGGAGATCTAATTTGAGAAGCATAGGGCCACAGCTTGAGTGCACACGTAGGCAGATTGAGAAATCCTGTGCTGAGCAGCTGGTTGGGCTGAAGTAATCTGGGAGTGAGAACAGTTCTCATTAGATTGGAAGGCACTGCTCAACTTGTACAGGATCTGCTGAATGTGTCAGAACACTGGGGAGATTGCACAGTGATTAAAGTCACATGACTGGAACATAAACTGTATAGAGGAAGTGGACGTAGCCACCATGACTTCATTCTGATGAGAGGAGGCTGAAGAAGAGCGAGGGGTAGATCTGACTGGGAACCTGAGGACACTGTCAG